CCTTCCAAGGCAAATCCCCCTCCTCACTTTTTCCTGCTTCCTTCTCTCCTTTCCACCCACCAGCCCAACCTACCTTTATCTGCCCCCTATCTTTAGTTTTCACTACTTCCTTAACAGTGACAGCCTCTCTCTGGTAAGTCTAGCCACATTGCACAATGCCAGCTTCCACGCCAGGCCCAGTTGTGAAGTGGAAAAGTTGTGAGAGGCAGCTTACTTTCCCCTATATCCCTTTTGCCACAATATTTCTTCTTTTCCTCCTTCTGGCAGCCCCCATATCCTCACCTTTCCCTGTCTTATACTCTCCTTCCCACCCACCAACTAACATTTTGCCTGCTCTCCACCTTCAGCTATATTATTTAATTACTATACTTATACCCAGCCTTTCTCCATAATGTTGACCCAAAGCAGCTTACATCATTCTCTTCCATTTTATTTTCACAAAAGCCCTATTAATTGGTAGGTTAGGCTGAGAATATGTGAGTGGTCCAAGGTCACCCAGCAGACTCCATGGCAGAGTTGGAATCTGAACCTTGGTCTCCCAGATCTTAGTCTGGGAACCGTAACCACTACATAACACTGGCTTTCATGTCACAGCTGTTGTTGAACAGTTGCAAGCAGCTGGGCCTGGGTGACTCACTGTGTTGCGGTTGTCTAGCAACAGCCACAGAGAGCATTTATTTCTTAAAGCTACAGGCACTGTTTCTACTATTTCAACCCCCCCAAGTGTGTGTATGCATGTGTTATTTCAGATTTTTCTGCAAACCTAGGGCTTTTCTCAGATTTGCGGAAAGATCTGTCTTGTCTGTTCATGGCTCCAATTTCTGAATTTAAATATCCTCAGATATGACCACTTTGAGAACTAGATTTATTAACTAGCATGCACCAAGATGTAACAAGTGTAGTGGAATCAAAACTGTAATCTCTGCTTGCTAATAGCATCTCACATGAAAGCTGGGGAGTTAATTTGGGGCAAAATTCATATATATTTGATTTTAAACAGTACAGACTGAAAAGCTTTCAGATTTGTAGACGACTTGGCCTAGACATGCAGCAGAATGACATGGGAGAACAACTGTACTAGTTAATGCTACAGGACAGGAATTAAATTTTTCAAAATTCCTCTACAGTAATGATTTCCTATAAATGAAAACTGGAACTACATGCCAAGAATTAGACTAGAAACTCTCCCATTGTTGCAGGAATTTTTACATGGGGTAGCATTAAAAATAAGACTATCCTTACCTGCAGTCTGAAGTGGTACAGCCTTTATATCAGGTCACATTCTACCACCTCACTCTGCTGCACCAAGCCTAAGAGTAAACCACCTGAGCAGAGACTTCATTCTAGGTTTTAAAAGATGATGATGGGGGTGGTAAGATTCTGTATGGTAGGCTTCTTTGCCAGGTAATTATCTACTCCCATGTTCCCCTACTGCAAAGGAAGGCAGTATCTCTTGCAGACAATCACTCAAGTGTTTACAACTGTATGGATTGCTGCTAAAACTGTAACAGCAGTCATTTGCTTGTTTATGTCTCTACTTCTGGGTGCCAGCTGCTTGGTCAGATAGGCAAGGTAAGTGAATAAGCCTCTAACTTCTCTCATGCTGTGTAACTGAGAAGCACAGGAAAGAAGAGAACAAGATACCAGCAGCTGCTACTAAGGCAGAGAAAATGGCCCAGTTTTTTCATGGAACCCAGTGCCGCTGCTGTTTAAGTCCAGAAGACAGGAACAGGACAGTAAGCAGCAGAAGCTGCTGTAGCCATTGCTGTGTCAACACTCACCCACCTGAATGAACAAGTAAGTGGCCGTGATGTCAAGGAGATGCTGCTACCTCCCTTTGGTTGGCTTCAGTTGTTTCTATTTGCCCTTTGCCACTCACACAAATGAGCAAATGGTAGAAAGCAGGCAAGGGGATATAGTCACAGTGGAGCATGCACAAAGGGAAGGAAGACCAAAGGAGGAGGAATCAGTTTCTCTGGAGCCCAATCCTGCTGCCAGTCCTGCTCCCAAGAACTATCTGCAGACTTGCCAGATCAGTTACTGGTCACACACCAACTTTAATTTCAATAATGTGAATACATGCTATTTTCTTGCCTAACATTGCACATCCACAAGTTTTAAACAGTATTATAATAACCAATCTGGAATGACCTTGATAGCCCAAGTTAGCCCAGTCTCATCAGATCTTGGAAGCTAAGCAGGGTCAGTCCTGGTTAGTACTCAAATGGGAGAGCACCAAAGAAGTCCAGGGTTCTTATGTAGAGGCCTGGTTTCATTCCCTGTTCATGGACCCCTTGAAACCCACAGGTTAACAACCCCTGATCTATACTACCTTTATAGATTATGTTCTGTACATTGTTTTTCTTGCCTTGTTTGAAGAGAAGCAAACTAAAAAAAATTCACAAAATGCTGAATTATGACAAACTTCAGGACATGGATTCAGGTGGATAGCCATGTTGGACTGAAGCAACAAAACAAAGTTTGAGTCCAGTGGCACCTTTAAAACTGGACTGGACTCAGATTTTGTTCTAGAATTTCAGGACAGTTCTATTGAATAAGTTCTTTTACTCTGTACTTTCATTTTGGCATTTATACTGCATTGTCTTATACATTTGTAATCTTATGTTCTGTACTACTTGCACTATGCCAGCCTAGGTAGTTTGCTGTTCACACTTGTCTTTTAATTTTGTATCCCTAGTTTTATTGCATTTTTCATTCAATGTCCTATACTGTATGATTACATTTTTTCTCCTCTTTCTGTACTCTAATCGGCCTTGAGTCTCAATGAGAAAAGCAGGCTATAAATAAGCTAAACAAATAAATAAATCCTAACAACAATATTTTCATTTTATTTTGTTTGTTTTAAACTTACCAGTGCATTTTCCTTTATTTCAAGATTCTTAAGAGCTACAGCTCCTGTTATGAAAAAGATAAAGTTTCAATTATAACAATTTTAATATACACACTTCAAAGAAATATTCTCCCTGCATTGTGTATTATTTGCAATTGTCTAGAACAGCAACTTGCTTCAGGTCAAAGTTTTTCCAGACTAAACTACACTTTGTTCCAGAAATGTAAGGGCTCTTGTCATACATCTTCTATCTTTCATTTTGAAGTCAAATTTTACTGGATCTGATATTATCACTGGCAGCCTGAACTAACCAGGGGCCAAGCATGATTTCTGTGACTATAGTAAAAACTTGCAAGACACAGACAACAGCCCATCCCATACATATACACACAGACACACAAAATCTCATGGATCAGGATGGTTTTACAGTGGAATTTTTAAAGACCTTTTCCAAAGACTTAACACCTTTTTTCACCTGTTTATTTAACAAAATAATGGATACTGGGAAAATGCCCTTAACTTGGAATGAGGCTGTTATTATTACTATTCCGAAAGATGATAAAGATAGGATGTCGCCTGCCTCATACCGGCCAATTTCTCTCCTAAATAACAATTATAAAATTTTCTCCAAGGTTCTTGCTAAGACTTCAGAGCATAATTACGAACTATATAAACCCCAACCAAACTTGGTGAATCCCCAACAGGTCAACTGTAGATAATATTAAACCGCTTTTAAATATAGCTTTTACCCAACCACAATCACACAAAGCCACACTCTTATCAATTGACCTGGAAAAGTCCTTTGATAGTGTGGAATTTCCATTTCTTTATTCTGTTTTAGAGGGTATGAACTTTGGCCCAAAGTTTAAGAAATTGATCAATGCCCTGTATGCCTCTCTGACTGCAAAATTACAAATTAATAACTTTGTAAGTGATTCTTTCCCTCTTTCTAAAGGAACAAGACAGGGTTGTCCAATGTCCCCACTCCTTTTTGCACTAATTATAGAACCCCTAGCTACTATAATTAGGGAACATGGAAGAGTTGAAGGTATTAAAATAAGTACTGTGGAGAATAAAATCAGTTTATATGCTGATTATTTAATTTTGTTTGTTTTGGACCTAAAAAACTCTATTCCAACGTTAATGGATATTTTTACTCAATTTTATGCTTTCTCTAGTTTGAAGATTAATCTAAATAAGTCTTTCATGGTTCCTATTAACATCCTTAGAGAAACAAAAGATCAACTAGGTTCCCACTTCCCATTTCCTTGGAAGGAAGTCAAATGGAGATATCTTGGGGTTCATATTCCAGCCAGACTTGACCTTTAACTTTGAAGCTTTTCATAAAGAAATTGAAAGCCAATTAAAATATTTGCATAAACAAAAATTCTCACAAATTGATTACAAATAATTAAGAGTTTTATTCTATCCAAATATCTGTTTTTATTCCAAGCTTTGTCTATACCTATTCCTAGTAAATCTATATATCTAATAGCGAAGTTGCCCCCGGAGTGCGGATCGCTAAATCAGCGCTCCGGGGGCAGCTGGGGGGCCGGGGGAGGTTTGTGCACACGTGGGCCAGTCCCCACGTGTGCACAAAAATAAAAAAAGTTGAAAAAATGTCGGGGGGATGTTTAAAGTTTGTTTATGTTTAAAGATGTTTAAATCCCCCCGAAAGTGCAAGAGCGTCTCCTGCGCGTGCGCAGGGGACGCTCTGGAACGTCGTCGCTGCCGCCGGAGCCGGGGGTGGGGAGAGAGAGAGTGCGAGGTGCCTCGGACGGTGAGGGGGGGAGAGAGCCGGAAAGAGACGGAGCCGAGGCCCGCGCGGCTTGCCCTCGGGTCGGAGCCGGTGAGGGGGAGGGCAAAAGAGAGAGAGAGAGAGTGGGGGTGGAAACAGAGAGAGAGTGGCAAGAGGGGGGGCGAAAGAGAGAGAGAGAGTGGCGAGAGTGGGGGTGGAAAGAAAGAGAGAGACGGGGAAAGAGAGAGAGAGTACCTGCTCCTTCCTTCGGGGCCAGGGGGAAGGGAGAGACAGAAGCCAGCGGGCGGGCGGGGAAGGACCGGGCTCGCCGCCGCCTCCTAATCGGAGCCGGCAGGCAGGCAGGCAGGCAGGCAGGGGAGGAGATCGGGCTCGCCGCCGCCGCCGAGTCCGGCAAAGGGGGGGGGGAAGGACCGGCCTCTCCGCTGCCGCCTCCGCCTCGGAGCCAGGCGGGGGAGGGAGGACCGGCCTCGCCGCCGCCTCCTCCTCGGGGAGATCGAGCGGGGGGGATGGGGGAGGCGGAGCCCT